ATACTTGATTAAAAAAAGGTGTGCCTTATTCCAGCGTGACCATGGTCGAGTCTTTGAAATTTGACTAGCCAGAAAAAAAGTCGTTATTTAGTCGGTTCAAGTCGCAAAAAACTAGATTTAGTCGGTCCTAGTTTAACTTATAAGGGTGTTTTACTGCCACGCTGGAATAAGCTTATTCCAGTGGCACCATTTCTCAATCTCGAGAACCACAACACCTTTTTTACAACACCTAGCTTAGATCTGATTACACTAAAAAAAGTCGTGATTTAGTGGTAAAAAACTAGACTTAGTCGTTACGCCGTTTTGAAGTCATTAAGGTGTTTTACTGTCCACGCTGAAATAAGCTAATTCGGCGGCACCATTTTTGGATCTCGAGAACCTCAGCTCCTAGCTTAGCTGACTGCACCCAGAAATAGTCGTGAATTAGTCAGTTCTAGTGGCGAAATTTTAGAAGTAGCCCTTCTAACTTTTGAACGACGGACCGACTAAATCTAGTTTTTTACGACTAGAACCGACTAAATAGCAACTTATTTCTGGCTAGTCAAATTTCAAAAACTCGACCATGGTCACGCTGGAATAAGGCACAGAAAAAAAACAAAAGAAACTGGTACATGTCATAATTCAATAAGAGCGTCGAGGTAAGTTGTTAAGATTTTATTAATTGAACGTACGTAGTTTGTTTTACGGACTTTAATTTGAATCATTTGAACGTTGTCAAATAATGAATGAGCGCCAAAAGTCACCGATTCGTGGGGGATCAGAATAGGCGACCACAGGCGAGCACGCCACGTGCGCGCTCGGGCGGCCTTTTCCCCACGGCGCGCGCATTGGTGCGATCTCGCTTCCCACGGCGAGTTGGTGCAAGCGTTGGTGCACGGCGCGGCCCGTGAAACTATGCGCCGTAGGTGGGAAACCAGCTTTAAACGGCACATCGTCTTTAAAAAACAATACGACTAAAAATTGTCGAAAATCACGACTAAAAATTTCCGAAAACCGTTTACGGGCCATTCTCAAAAACGGACTTAAAATAATTTAAAAAAAACAATGTTTTTCGATATGATTCAAAGTAGTCTTAAAAGAAAGGTACCGTATCCTACAATATGTTTCACTTAAGAATCCAACTACACACATCAAAAGTGTCTAGGGATCAAGTGAATATGTTTGAAATAAAAATTATTTAAGCAATATTTACCAAATCCAGTCTTCCAGGACGACTTCTTACTTTAATGCTTATGTTTTATTTAACCGCTTACCCCTATATTTAATTAAAATAAACTAAAATTGATGTTTTTGCAAATTGTGGGAAAAAACTCAAATTAACGGCGTCAATTAAATGACAAAAAAATGGCGAAAATGATGATTTTTGCTCATTTTTATTGTAAAGATAAGAAAATTAATAATCTGTATTTCCACCATTAACACGAATCACACAAATACAGCGATTTGGCATGCTTAAGATGAGTTCATCAAAATCACTTTGAGGAATGGCCGCCGATGTGTTTTGTAACAAGTCAAAATATTGTTGTAGAGTATGTACGGTATGCATACTCGGCACAGCTCTTCTTTGAAGCATATCCCATGCGTGCTCAATTGGATTGAGGTCTGGCGATTGAACAGGCCACGGCAGAACGTTGATACGAGCTTCGGCAAGAATGCGTGTTACGACTCTAGCCGTGTGTGGACGTGCGTTGTCATGCATTAGTTGAAATGAATCACCCAACTGGCCTCGCAAAGGGATGATAACATCTGAAACAATCCTCTCTGCGTAAACTTGAGCATTGAGGTTACCCCTGATCCAAACGAGATCGGTTCTTCCGCCGATCCAAATACCGGCCCATATCATTATTGTTCCCCCACCATATGGATGAACTTCCTGACAATATCTCAAACGTTCATGACGTCCAGATGTTCTCCAAACTCGAGTACGTCTTGTATCCGGTCTCATACCGAAGCGGGATTCATCCGAAAAGCACACATAGCGCCAGTCTTCTTCCACCCAGTTTCTGTGTTTGCGAGCCCATCGTAAACGGGTCCTGCGATTGCAGGGTTGCAATAGGTGGAACTCTGAGCGGCCTTCGGGATCGCAGACCCACTTCACGTAAACGATTTCGGATTGTTTGATCGCTTATTAGCAAGCCTGAGGAGCTGTGGAGCCTCGTAACCAACATCATGGCGGTCATGGTACGATTCCGTCGAGCAGTATTTTGGATATACCGGTCCTGTCTGCGAGTCGTGATGCGAGATCGTCCTCCATGTCGCTCGGCCACGCTGCCCGTCATGCGATAGCGCGTCCAGAGGCGACTTATGACGCTCTGTGTAGTGTTAAGAGTGAAAGCCACAGCACGTTGCCTGGAACCAGCTTCCAATATTCCGACGGCTCGCATCATCACTTCTCGGGTTAAATGATGTCGTCTCTCCATAATAATGTAAATTGTTTCGGTTCCGATGCAGATATTGTAATGATTTTGTCAAAACGCTATAACTCATTTTTATACAAAACCACATTGACAATCGATTTTCTTCTTATTATCGAATTTTAAACAATATTCCTTATTTAAATGTTAAAACTAACTAAAAAGTATCAATAGCGATACAAAAAAGTTAATATAATTAACCCTAATTGCAGCAATACTCTTAAACGTACTTGATCCCTAGACTTTTTTGATGTGTGTATTATCATTTATCACTGTAGTTTTCATGACAAAAAGGAAAAACGAAAACACGCCTCCACGGAAGGAAGTGACACAAGTCCATGGTGATGACATATTAAAGTTTAATGTTGAATAAAACGTACTTTTTACTTAATTATCTTTATTTACGTAATCACTTAGATACTTATTAAATTTTGGGCTTTTTAAAATATTAGGTATATTCAATTATGTAAATTCTATATTATTATTTTTTTTTTTTGGAACACTAAAGGAGTCTTTTAATCAGTTTTTGATATCAGGTCACATGGGGTACCAGTATGTCTAATAATAGATTTTATAATCTCTATTATTTACTTAACACTTCGCACCTTTAGAATGAAAGTGGTCAACACAAAATTTTTACTTTTTGGGAAAATGCAAAATAAGTTATGATGTGACATTTTTATATTATCTAATTTTTACTCTTGGAGTACTAAAGGCAATTTTAGTGATAATGATCGTAGCTGCAAAATGAAGCTGCGATATGCTTAGGCATGCCGAGCCTTCAGCCTCCGGAATGCCTCGCCAGTTTTAGGGATGCCTCGGCAGCCTTATGGATCCTCGGCGACCTTATGGATGCCACGGCAGTATAATGAATGCCTCGGCACCCTTAAGGATGCATCGATAGGTTTCAGGACGCATGCTCCGCGTCGCCATTGGTCACCATTAGCTCGACGCCATGCAATGGCATTCAATACACGTCATGTCACGTTATCTCTGCGAATTTCTAGCCTCTTACGCCATTCCTTTCTCTGTTTTCTTTCTGACATTTGATCAATAGATAATACTTATTATTCTCTCCTTTTCGCTTTCTGAAACGTACCTACTTTTATATTTTTTCCCGATCGCATTCTGTTTCTTACGTCTATCTCTTCCGGGCATGTTTTCGTGGGCGCCATAATTATCTACTAAAGTATATTGAAATCAAATTAATTGCGTTGATATTATTTAAGTTAATAAAGAGCGTCCATTATTATATTGTCACTTCCATAGAAATTGTGTCGCCTCCATGGATAACGGTAATCCACGTGGGTGACGTCTATGGAGGTGATATTTTAAACTTAAACACCGTTTTTCCGTGACCTCATTTTTTAGTTATAAAATACGATGAAATGCCTAGATGACGGTTATAATAGCTCATAATTTTACGATATCTGATAGATCTTAATTGAATAAAATAATATGAATGATCCACATAAGTGACTAAAGTAGCAGGCTAATTTTTGAAAAATCGTACCTTAAAGGTCAGTGCGCCAAAACTATTATCCCGGAAGTGGCAAACTGTCAAAAACTTTCAAGATGACATTGTGTTCGTTGTCTGTAATTGTTCAGAAACTGCGTTGACTGATTTAATAAATTATGGCTGCGTTCAATAAGTTTATGCATGGAGGTGACAATTTTTTCATGTACAAACGTTATGAAATATTTTGAATCCATTATTTTATTTATGTTGTAATTATTTAGTGTTTTTTAGAAAGTTTATTCTATGTATTATCGTAAAATAATATAGATTATTTCTTACAAATAAATATATTTAATTTTGTGTGTCCATTTACAATGATACAATCATTGTAAATGGACTTTGCACACGACATGACGTGATGCCTACGCATTTTCGTCACTTTCTTAATGATAGTTTAAATAAATATTTATATTATGTAAATATAAATAAAAATCATATTAATATAAACTACCTCGATTATTTTTAAATAGGAATTGACTTAGTAATGCAAGTAGGTATATAATTTTTAATACACATGTACAAAAAAAATTGCAGAAATGAGAATGGTCCTTATATCCTTCGATACAAACTTACAATTATGTTCATCGATTGGCATATACTGAAAAAAGTATAAAAAAGAATTGTTTTCGTAATAGGAACTGTATTAAGACGTATCAAGGTAAGAAAAGCAATCCTCTATTTTAAGTAGAAACTGAACTTTCAGAAATGTATCGAAATTGAACCACATTTACAAAAGTTTATTATAAATACCAGTTTATGCGGGCCTTAGTTATATTATAAATATTAGTTTATAAACAATGTGTAAAGACAGGAGTCTTTTCTGTGCCACAAAGTCTCGACAAAAGTAAAAATAACATGAGTTATCGTTACGAGGAAAACAATGTGTTTTTTCTGTAACTCGTCGTGACAAGAAATATTAAAAACTTAAATCTAATTCAAAACAATCACAGACAACCTGCGTAGAAGATGCGTACGCAAAAAGGGTTTCCAAGACAATGTCCAAAGCACTTGACCGCTGAGCGAACCACAATAAGGCTATTACGGTGACTATTATAAAAAATACTCACCTGTGGATGTGTAGAAATATAATGCAGTCTGTGCCAATAACGGATGTAGAACGCCCGGAATGTGTAGTACAGTTGTACTGGATCATCATACAAGTAGCAAAATGGAGTGGCTGAAAGACATTAAAAGAAATAATTTATATTTAATTTGGCATCTTTCAAAATCTTCCAGGATTGTAAAAATCTCGTCACGCGATAATTTCAACGTGAATACCGAAATTTGATGGATACTGTAAACAAATCCTTAAAAGAGAGATGGCGCCTAGAAACCTGTCGAAATTCCAATAGAATAAAGAGTATTTGGGACCATGCTAGCTAAACTAACGAACGTTCATAATTGATTTGCCACTTAGAATTTAAATAAGGAAATAGAGCTCACCATCAAGTAAAGCTGAACTTCCTATCATACCTCATTGTATCTTATTTTCTGGTTTAAAACTTTCTCAATAAAAGCACTTACTTTATTTCTCTACTCTCACTGGACCGTCGATGTTTTGAGATCGTTTGATATACATGGACATTAATTTATACGCCGTGAAATAAGAAATCGAAAACACTGCGATATCTAACATAAGTTTTTCCCCTTTGAAACCCATACTCTGTATATTTTATTTAAGAACTTAATACCTAAATTATATTTTTAATTTTGTAGGTCACTGTGTTAATAACATTTTCTGAAAAATATGAAAGAAAGCTATGCCGTATTGTATGTTATTTTTTCTGACAAATTGTTTTATTTTATGACATCTACAGGTTTTTCTTCTAGAAAAGTTAGAATATAACGTAGAATTGTAAAAAGTTTGTATTTCATTACAAAAAAGTATGTGACGAAATTTGTAATCCTGCATTTCCAAGCGAAACATTCAATAGATTCTATAAGTAATTTATTGTACTATTTGGTACATGACTATTTGTATTTATTTAATTCATAGACTGCTGTACCCTGAAAGCTGAAAAAAATTATGATAGTAGGTATTAAAACTAATTCGTTTGATGAAAAGAACACTATTGTCTTCTTTTCGTGGTAGATTACTGACATATCTATCATGTAAGTAAATCTTTAAGTTTCTCACCATACATAGTGAATCCGTGAAATGGGATGATACCACTGGGCGGGAAGACGTTGACGCTTTCGGGTGAGGGCTGCTTGCCCTTAATGGTGACCGTGAGAGGGTTGCCGATGTTGCCTTTGAGCTGATGCATTACATCGCAGTCGCGGGAAAAGCAGAGCATCACCTGTCGGTAATAAATTAATGACAGTGGTTTTTAATTGAGGTTGATAAAATATAGACTTATCCGCAGCATATATGTTCCGTTATCAGCAGTTTTGTATTAGGTTCTGTCTATTTGTCATGAGCTCCCCTTAAATTTAACCATGTGTTTTAGGGTGGCCAATTATTGGACGATAGTTTTTCTTTTCCCCGTCATCGTGTAGATGTAGGAAGGACGAGTAGTAATTCGCGGCAATAAAAGTGACCATCAGCGCCTGCAGTATTCTATCAAACGGTATTGTAACCAATTATAATGTTGTCATCGTAACGTTCAAGTCAATGCCTAAACAATACAATACGGCGAATCGCCCCGTTACCTCTACACAGCGCTAGTGAGGCGGTGGAAGCAAAAAGATTAGCTTGCCTGATACAAAAGGTCCTCAAAAACGAAGTACTGATCATCATTGGAAGCTGTTAACTGCACGTCTTTGAATATCAGTTTGTCGATCATCAGGTCCACTTCTAATACACTTTTCTTTAACTGGTTGAAGTACGCTACTTGCTGAAAACATTACATCACATTTGAAGATAGAATTTTCACCCTAAGGGCACTTTTAAATTAGACGATTATAGAAACGCGCCATTACTAATTTTCATCGAATATTTAGAAACGCAGTTGCAGCGCCACTGTCATGACACGCGCGCACCTCTTTTGCAGTCGTAAATTTTATATTAGTAACAATAAAGCCGTGTATTGCATACACCATGCTCACACGATTTTACGCGAAAGCTTTTATGACTCACTAATGTATCTTGTTTTCTTTATGTAGTATTAAATTTTATATTACTAACTAAAATAATATATTATGAATATTCGATAATCCTCAAAACACGCATGGTTTTCAACAAAAAAAAAACTATCGAGCGAAAGTCAAAGTATTATTTAAGTGTCGTGATTAATTACTAGAAAAAGGTTTGTTGAAACCTATGTCCAAATTTGGCATTGATCGAACTAGGTACGAGACACGAGTGAGGCCATGCGCTCAAAAAGTATGAAATTTTGGAAGCCCAGTCGTAAGTGAACTAAGAATTATTGAAGCGATACAGACACAATTGCGACACTGCAGTGATTCTGCAAGCGACCAATTTGAAGGCGCAACGCGCCCTTAGCTTCTACCATTGGAAGGTATAAAATTATCGTATTTCGTAATAGGTATTATGCGGTTCTTACGTGATTCTTGACATCAGCACCCAAAACTTGCGCCCAAAGTTTCGCTCTCAAGCACTGCGGGCATCCCTTCTTCAAAAACTCCTGTATGACAGGAGCGTACCCCAACGTTGCCACTCTTTCCCCCAAGCCTATACGTTCAACTTCTAATGACGCGAATGCAGTGACTGTGCTCGGCATATTGGGGTTGACACCTAGTAACGGTTCTCCATTCGCCCATTCTGTGAATACTTTGCGCTGAAAGAATAAAATTCAGTTGTAACGTATTCCGAAACATCAACTAGGTATTGTATAGATACAATATTATTTCTGGGCTTTCTAGATGGTACTTGAAATACCAGTTTGTATTTTATCCCAGGGAGTTTTTTCTGTAGCTACGCATTATAAATACTTAAATAATATAAGTAGTTGATTATAATATTTTATTTTTATTGAATATTATCATGTTTTTATCACCAAGACATTAATCTATTTATTGTGAAAAAACTCCACTAGTTTGTAATAATAATATTATTGATACAAAGAACGAACAAACACAAAGAAAAATTCCTTCGATCCTCCTGTAGCTTGATTTTGTTTTCCTCTCCCGACCGGAAATTGCGTCTCTTCCGAGTCGAGGGGCATAATTGCGACTCACAACTGGCCGATCGGAAACTTTTGACATTCCAAAATCAGCAAGCTGGATTCGAACCAGCGTTTATCGCCTCAATGTGGCAACTATTTGAATATAATTGAAAAATAAATGTTTTTTAACTGACTTCAAAAAAAGGAGGAGGTTCTCAATTCGACTGTGTTTTTTTTTGAATGTATGTTACGCGATAACTTCGGTGTTTGTGAACCGATTTTCATGATTTATTTTTTTGTTGTAAAGAGGGTACCTCCATAGTGGTCCCATTTAATTTTAAAGAAAATCATCCACCTCTAAGGGTGGCTGTTCACGAATGGAGATTCATTTTTATAAATAGCTCCTAAATTTTATTTATTTTGATTTTGCTATTCTCCAGGCGCTTTTCTCTCTCAATACACTTTGAGTATTGAGAACCGATTTTTGTTATCTCCTGTGTCAAGTCCCGTATAGTGGCGAACTAGGGATCAATCCGGGTTTGCGCACTTTCTGGTAACCCATTTCAATAAAACTAGGTAATTATATGTAATTCCACGTTATTTGAGGTCGGTTCTTTTAGTACTCTGTACTGCAATTATTTGTATTACAATTTTAGAGTGAAAATGAAATTTACTTTCTCTTACCAAATGATCTAATGTCTTAACTTGTAAAGGTAAATGCGCGAACTCCCATTTAGGTTCATCTCTGAAAAAAAGTTTAAATTTGTTTTTACGTAAAAGTTTACAACAGAAGGCTCTGCAGTCAGATCCTGAATATCATAATGGGTAGTTTCTCGATTTGATTCTCGTTTGTACCAACAATTTTTTTCAGCTATATTCTGATGTTGGTGTTCTGGGCACTCAAATTTTATTACTCAGGTGGATACTCGTAGAGTTCCCTTATTATTCATAAGTTCCCTAGATAGAGTCGAACTCCATAGTTTCAGACAAGACAACAAACCTCATAGACGTGGTTGTTTGGCACCCAAAAAACTTACTCTCGTGTGTATGGTATGTATCCAGATAATGTTAACAGTACTTCCAGAAAATCTTTTGGTGCGTATACTGGTCTGTATTTTGATAAATCTGAAATATACGTAAATACCGGTGTCTTTGTTAAATTGTCAAAAAAAAAAACTTACGTAGGGGAGCGTGGGGGAATGGGAGCCTACTAAGGAAAACTGACAATAAAAGTCATAATTTAGATAATTTAAATTTGTATTAGTTATGAACGTACGCTTCACATATCTGGGTACTAGATAATCACAGAAAAAATGTGAAATTAAAATAAAATATTTGGTTAAAAAAGAAAAAACTAAAACATGTCATTCGCTCTCATTACCCCACAGTTCGTGAAATGGGAGCCGGTAAGAATCCCGTATGTCAAATGGGAGCCATTATATATAATCAGTCTGAAAAAAAATTAAAGTAATAAAATATATATATAAGTTAAAAAGTAATGAAAATAAACAAGAAAGTGTTAAAGAAATATCCAGTGAATATTGCAATGGGGTAAGGAGAGCCAAATAGCTCTCATTACCCGCGTAACATCGAATTGAAAAAGGAATAAAACAGTAAAAACATTTCTGTTTTTATTGTGATTTCAAGCATAACTTCTAAAATTTGATAGATATGGTGACATAGCTAGTGTAAATACAATGTAGTATCTATGCATTTTAATGCCTACCTGGGATGATGAAATTTAGCCAATTTTATAAGTGCGTAGCGAAAAACACACAACCCTCTCATACGACTAAACGCGGGGTTCTACAGGGGCGCCCACGGGACTCGAATCTTGTCAAACGTTAACGAAGATATAGGAGTGCCGTTTGCACAAATACGAGCATTGGGAAAGTCCAGTTTAACACCGTTCTCATTACCCGCGGGCTCCCAATACCCCACGTTCCCCTACTTACTAATTATTTTACCTAGTTTTGTCTTCTTTCCAAAAGAATTCTTAAACATACTCATACAGCAAGCAACAGAATTTGTTCCAAGAATTTACCTAAATTGTAAGTGCTAAGTTCATTCCACTTTTCTGCTAGTTCTTCCTTCTCACTCTGGGGCCTTATCTTGGCCAATGAGGTCTCGAGGTCAGAGCACATCGAGTTGAGAGATTTATGTATGCGTTTCTCCCATTGGGCACTTGCTTTTGTTAAACATGCAATGGGATCCTAAAATAGAATAAATGTTTCTAAATTTAGTAATAAATTATTTTGTTCTTGGTTGTAAGAACGTGTACTTGAACGTGTGAATTGTAGGTAGGTACAGTATGATAAGACAATGTGGGAAGTAGCCGAATATGTGCTGCGTGTGAGGCAACTATAAAAAGATGGTTTTCAAATGTACCAATTCAGTTGAGTATTACGTACTCATATAGCGAATATTAACTAAGCACACAAGTCAGCGTCCACGTGTTATCTGAAAGTATTTAAACACAAATAGTATCAATTTAAATCAGACAAACTGCTATTATGTTACACTACTTACGTTTTGTTTTGTTTGCGTGCGCACCCAATGAAACACTGTGTTCCTTAATTTTGTGTCGAGTCCCTTTTCTTTCATAGCCTGTTGTAACGTCTGTTTGAAATCCTCCTTCTTTACGTTTGGCGAACATACCATTTTCTGTAACGCGCGGTAACCTTAATATTTAAGTTTATAGAACTTGAAAGTCCGAATAGTCGACATGTTTTGGTAAAAAGACAAGTAAAATTAATCCCTACCGACGACGTGACGGTTTACACTATTTTCCTCACATATTTTCGTAAATTGTAAGATATTGTAAATTGATCTATTGCAGGAAATTATATAATATTGAGTATGTTCAAGTGATACATATTAGTCTACTCTTACCTGAACGTCACTGTAAAAGGATTTGTAAATTGATAAATTTTTTATTTCTTCTGCGAGTTTGAGAGCAGTGTGGTGTATGGCGTCTTCTTTAATACCTTCCATGGCGTCTTAATTAGAAAAATACCTTTACATTAATTTTGTAAAATATAACAGATGTCTGTTTACTTTTTTATAAAAATAATATAAAGAAAGTCTGCCGTCGTTGCTCTGGCAACCAGTAAACAGTATTGAAAAGAGTACATAAGTCATTTTACTGTTCGGTACCAGTGATAGGTACTTACTCTACATGGCATTGTTCCATTATTACGATAATAATAACGTGCGACTCATATTCACATTTTTAAAATCATGTCTTGGCTGATCGCTTTAAATAGCCCAAACCAATGTTCTCGCCGTGCCATTTTGTATTTTTACTTTTTGAAACCAGGGAGATTACATTAAAGCTAACTAGATGATAATATGCACCTGGTTTAGGTCTAGGGAGCAAACTCCAAAAGCCATAAATCCTGATTATGCCTAATAACTGGGCCAAACTAAGTATAAATGGTCCAAAATAAAATGCACCTATTTTTATTGCCTCTGGTCGAACGGTTACCATACAGAGGTTCCGGGTCCGAGAGAGGAATATTTCAAAGTCATACAGTCTTTATTTCATAGGTAAGCAAATTACACTTGACATCGTCATACTGATTAAACTCTACTGCTGGTTCGTAAGGCCGATTCCCCTGAGAAGAATGACCAAGGAACTCTAAAGTAAATATACCTACATTGGAATACATTTATCATTACAATAATTTAAACATCTTAGATCGAGAATACCTGAACGAGTTAAACGGGTCACTACCATGGATTTTTGTCATTTAAGTACGCAGAAGTTGTACAATAACCTTTAATATAAAGTTTTTGTTTCGCAATAGTTTTAAACCTTGTAGCTTGTAAATGACAAATTTTAAACATCAATCGGAATCTTATTATAAAAGCGTAGGTACACATTGTCCCTTAGATGAATTTGAGACTTTAAGAAGACGACTGTCAAGAACAGCGAGTTTATTTTTATTCCTCGTATTAATGTTACGTCTGTCACTTTTTTCATAAAACAAATAATACTTTTTTTTTCCATCCTCTAGGAATATAAATAACATTTTCACAAATGTACTGTGACGTTAGTGTAAGAGTGTTAATCTCTTTAAATTTAACAGACGCTCTGGGGCCCAGATTTTGTAAATTGCCCTAACCGTACGTTTCTGCAGGGCAAAGATTCGATTAATATCGGCGGCATTGCTCCAAAGCAAAATGCCGTATGTCATTAAACTGTGAAAGTAGCTGAAGTAAACCAATCTAGTTGTTTCGACATCTGAAAGTTTTCGTATTTCTTTATCGCGTACACTGCAGAGCTGAGCCGTTTTGATAACTTATTTATGTGTGGACTCCATTGCAATTTAGCATCTTAAGTTATACCTAGAAATATAACAGTATCTACAACGTTCAATTTTTCGTTTCTAACTATAATGTTTGTGTTCGTCTGTCTAACATTGGTTAATTATAAAGGTATATTTTACACAATTTTTATTTTTCTTATTAAGGTGCAGGCTATTAACTGCAAACCAATTTACTACTTTAGACATAGGATTGTTCACATCGTCAAAGCAACACTGGTGCCTTTTAACTTTAAATAATAAGGTCATATCACCAGCAAACAATATTATCTCACGTTCTAAACCCTCCACGAGGCTAGGTAAATCATTAACATAAACTAAAAACAAAAATGAACCTAGAATTGATCCTAGAGAGACGCCCATACTAATTGCAAATCCTGATGATCTCGTGTCGTTGACATCGACTCTCTGTGCCCTCTCACACAAATATCATTTAAGAACGTCGAAGTCATGGCCCGCCATACCATAATGGCGAAGACTAAAGTATCATTGTGCACATAATCAAAAGCCTTGGAAAGGACAGAATACACCAATACTAATAATATAATAATAAAATAACATCATGTGAGTCTTCCCATGCATCAAATATATGTTTTATCAACTCCACACCAGCATCGGTTGTAGAGCGGCTCCGAGTGAAACCAAATTGTTTAGGACATTAAATTATTAATGTCAAAATGTGCACACATCTGATTTAGAATAATTGTATATTATATATATTGTAGTAATTGTATGGTCTACATATAATAATGTAATGACAACCTATACACAGACTTCAATTACATGATGTCGTTGACTTACTCTTATTAAAATTTTCGGGTCCTTTACATGTCCCATCCAGTCAACCGTGATCATGGGACCTATAAGGGGCCCGAAACGACCGACAGCGGAGACTCCCTCGCCAGCGACACCTGGGGGGCTACTCTCGATCTCCGTCCGAAACAATTACTGTCAAATAAGTAATATTCGACAAAATTAAAAGACAAGTATCCAGTAAGAAGCTTCATTCGCATCACGCGTCTTTTCATTTGGTTAAGTATTGCTTATATGGCAGTAATTGTTTCGGACGGATGTCGGACGGAGATCGAGAGTAGACCCCCTGATACGGAACTTACATGTAGTGCGATTCACGTAAGTTCAAGCTATTAAAATATCGTTAAAGTTACGTAGTCGTTCGATTGAAGTCTTATCCAAAATGGGTATTCACGTATCACTTGAACGAACTTTGATATGAGTAGAATCGAAACGTAACGACTAATGAACGACATCTTGGATTGTGAAGTTTGACATTTAGTCGTCGGAAGTCTATTGAAAGAACTGTCAAAATTTTAGCAGAATACGTATGACTTGTCGTTTAGAGTCGATTTAAGTTCGATTCATATGCCAAAATACGCTTTAACGGCATTTGGATCGAACGACTTTAAAATTGGACTCGTTGACGTTCACACGTAAATACGACAAAGCAGTTCAACGACTAAATCGCTGCGACAGGGAGCACCGAGGTGCAGTGAGCGCATTATCAGATTGCCGCGACGACGCGACGGCTCATTGAGAAGATGTCGTGAATTGCAGGAATGGACGAATGTTATATACTATGACTAATATATGGTTGATATTGACTTTGTCAACGTTCTGACTGTAAAATTATAAATGCTTCAACTATGTTAGTATTTATATGTATAAAGATCGAACACTCAGAAAAAATTTCTTCGATCCGGCCGGATTCGAACCGACGTCTTCTAGCATACCGTGCCAGACGCTATACCAACTAAGCCACGGAACGAACCAGCGGATCCCACGAATTTTTCTATGTGTTTCTCGTCGTGTCTATGTATTTGGTTTTTCAACGACTTTTTAGACGTAGCGCCATCTACGAGAAATTTTTGAAAGTTTTATCATCCAGTTAGATGCCTTTACAGCTACCAGCCCTGACGAGAGATGTCGCTATTCACCACTGACATTTATAGATAAGTATGTGCTATTCACTGTATTTTAAATGTTAGTATTCGTTTATTTCAAAACTGTACGACTATTTGTCGTCACAACATAATAGGATAGCGTCCTAAGTAGTTTGTGCCTGTTTGACAACCGTATCTGTACTCACAAAAGTACTCTAAAAATGGCGAAATGAATTTATGGTGACTTCAAAGTCAATCGATGACGATAACTATTTTGATTCCGTGTTTTGGGTTTACTTAGAGGGTGCAAAAAAAAAATTTGGGACGAGACCACACCTTTCGGAAAAAAAATAGGCTGTCACTTGTCTATCCGGGAATTTGAGAAAATGGCGGGTTTTTGTACTTTCGGTTTTTTCACGAATTAATTTTTAGTTTAAGTAATAATACGTTTTGAGTTTCTTGATTGTTTGTTGCTTGTTTCAGCTGATGGCTCTATAGCCAATGCTCAACAAATAAATAATTGTCTGTCCATAGACTGTCCACCCGTTTGGCGCGTCTTTTCAATTCCAAAGTCTTTCAAAATATTACACTTTTGTAAAATTAAAAGTATATACTATACATACTTAGAGACCTAATTGTATTGTTAAACGAGATACTTGTCTGGCTTGTCTATATAACGAAACGGCCGACTTGATCAATATATTTTGTACTATATTAATGTTTATTTCTAATTCAAGATCTATTTTTGCCATGCCTCGGAACCAACTAGCAGTGAAAGGTAAAAATGACATAACACATCGTTCTTCGAGATACTAAAATAATTTTTGTCTTGAGACTGCTACCGCATGAAATACATTCCACTACATTACATAAACGGGCGGGCCTATTGAATATGTAACCTGTTTTCTTATCCAGTCCAAACCTATATAATTTTTTAAAAATTGTATGTGAGTAGTGTAGTGATTTTGCTTAAGAATTAGTTGAATTCTAAAGAAGCAGCAACTAAAAGCAAACATGCCGCTGATTATCAACTTAAGAATAGTAAGTTCTTTCTGTTCTTTGTTCTAATGAAGTATGAACCAAGCCAATACTACGGCAGAAGAGAGAGTCCTTTTTATTCTCGTATTTATAGACAATGTTAATTTTATTGACACTATCGAACTGCTGATATTTCATAATAATGGAATTTCTCGATGTTGAGTGTAAATTTTTGATTTCGCAGGATGGTTGGTTTATAACCTTTTTAATTTTCATTATTCGTCCAAGTTTTTTTAGGTTAAGTAGCGAAACGAACGCGGTCGTCTGTCATGCGCGTTAAGTACCTACTTAATCTCTCAGTATACAAGTAATTTTGTTATAATTGAATTGTACATGCTATGCGTGAGTGTAGAGTTGCAATATCCGAGATAAGAAGGTCCAAGGTTGCAATAATTTTAATTAAGTGTCAACCACTATTGACAGTTTTCTATTCTGCGTCGATGTCGTACTACACGCAAGTATAAAAAAAACCTAGAAAAAACAATTTTATTATATTAATATATATATATATAATAACTGTATTTCTCAGTGAAACACATTTTGGTTATACAAGTGGTATTTAGTAAAAGAGTGACAATGAGTGATGTTACATTTAAAGAATTAGCAGTATGTACATTAAATATATATTACTTTTTTATACATAAGATTATACTTTTGTTTTTTGCCTAACTGTCCTTGAAGAAGGATAGAGTTTTAGATATATTAGTTTAGATATATATTATATTATTCTAAGAAATGTAACCTTTTATATTATTATCCATTATGTGCTTTGATGTCAGTAGGTAATTGTCTAAACGATTTGTTATCCTAGAATCAAGGATCTCGTATAATAGTTAAATATCTTGGTGTGTGTTGTGTTTCTGAAATATCTTGGTGGCCCAGTGGTTCATAATGTGGATGTATTATAGGTAGATAGACATACACTTTACTGCTCACACAGAAGAACATAAACAGTGCATGAACAATTTAGAACTAATGTGTATTATGCAATTATTGCTTGGTATTTTCGCATTATATAGGATGTTCTGGGCTCTATTCCTGGTAATACAGCTTTGGAAAACTAGTATTTCTAAATTGGGTTAATTGCCTCTCAGTTAATTTTGTTTCGCTCTGGTACTCACAGTACAGGGAATTTCCTACTTTGAGACCAGATAATTGTAGTTACCAGGCACTGCTATTATTATACTTGGGAAGTTAGCAAAAATTGTTCACTGATCAAATTTATGTATTAGCAAACTTTGTTTCTTGATTGTTTTGAAAGTATATTGTGTCAGGATCATAATCAAGTGTAAGATTGTGGTATCTGCCTACATTGGTGGGAAATGGGCATAAAGTATATGTGTACATATAAATTGCTTCAAGTTATGTAGTGTTTGTATACTTAACATAAATAATATCCTCTCCTATCAAATAAATACCATCTAATATATCTTTTCAGGTTCTGCCCATAATAATCGGCCTCGGCTCAGCAGTAATCTTATCAACAGTAATAGCAAAATGTCTTTGGGGCAAAAAGAAAAATAAGAAGTTAGTGGCTTTAGTTGACCCCAACACAAAATACCCTCTGCCGCTTATTGAACGCGAAGAGATCAGTCATGACACTAGAAGATTTAGGTTTGGTTTGCCATCTGATAAACATGTATTAGGTAAGTATTTGAGACTATAAGAGTCACATTACTCAGATAAGATGGATTGATTGTGTGAATAGTGATATCATCATTCACACAAATTGTGAATATCACTGTTCGAAGAACAAGAACAAGAACAAGCATCAACCACAAGCAGTGGAACAAAAGGTATAACACTGAAAAGAAAGATATGAGTAGTGTTATTCTACTGCTACAACTTGGGAATGCTTATTAATAAGCATTCATAACACAAAATTTAGTGGCGATCAGAATGTCTAATCATGTGTGGTGATGTTGTTTACAAAAGAGGTACAAAGTTTTTCAATAACCTTTTGACATTGTTGCAAAAACACTTATAGTTTAAAATACATTATTTTAGATAATTCTTCCTTCCTCTTTAATGAGGTAAATGAAACAATCACATGTAAAATTCTAGTAAATAACTATATGTATAGGTATCAATTTTCAGGCTTCTAAATTATATTAATTTTAATTCATTTAATACCTAATTATTCGAAAATACGGATTATTAATATTAATACAAAGTTCAAACACTAAGAAAAATTCCTTAGATCCGGCTGCATTCGAACCAGCGCCTTCAACATACCGTGCCTGACGCTGAACCGCGCCTTCAGCACGGTGTGTTGAAAGCGCTTGTTCGTATCCAGCTGGATCGACAGAGTTTTTTTTAGTGTTCGAACTTTGTGTTTATTATAACAATTATAATGGAATAATTTCACAAAACATAACTGAATATCATGGTAGGTAGTAAAACTTTGTGTAAAACAAGCAGATAAATTACCTAATTTGATAGAGTTAACAATGTAATGTTAAAAGATTGAAAATTATCAACAAATGACTGAATGCGTTTCAGGTTTGCCCGTTGGCCAACATATACACTTATCAGCCAAAATTGATGATGACCTGGTCATTAGATCTTATACACCTGTGTCCAGTGATGATGACAATGGATATGTGGATTTGGTAATCAAGGTGAATCATCATTTTTATTGTGTTCCGGTTGTTATAACAGGCACTGAACATTTGGTATTCACTGCTATAAAAGTTTAGAAATTAACGTTTACTCTGTGTTAGTGCAGAAGCTTGTGCAATTTTAACAGATGTATATTTAGTTCAGTGTTCATTCGAAATGCTCTTTTCCAAATGTAACCTTTCTTTAACTTATAACATTGACCACTAATTCTTGAGAGCATTTTAATGTCAGTCATCCATCAGTCATACATTATGTTTATGTAATTTATGTAAATATTAAGCATTGGTTACTTATTTGCAAAGTTGGTAAGTACATACCTATTATTATACAATTCATAAAGTCAAATAATCTTTATTTTTTAGGCAAGCTACTTACACTGTAATTGTGACATTGATTAAACTCTACTGCTCATTCTTGGGGCTGTTTGCCCTGAGAAGAATGTGCAAGAAAGTCTATTCTTAATAAATAAACAAATACATTGTATTGTACAGGTGGTGTTGTGGAGACAGTAAAATAATTTACATATTTTGTAACTTTAACAAGTGAAGGATTGTTTTCATTCAAGTAAAATAGGACAGATTTATAAATAATTCATCTACATTATATATTGATATAATTGTCAATTCATGGTGACAATAACTTTTGATAATCTTGATAGTCTACTGGGTTAAAATTATTCTTAATTTTACATTAAACAAATTAACTTGACATTTTACAAGACATTGACATTTGACATTTTATAAATTTGACATTGATGTTTACATTGCCTTCTGGTTTTAGGTGTACTTTAAAAATGTTCATCCCAAGTTCCCCGATGGAGGAAAGATGTCGCAGCACCTGAACAACATGAAACTCGGAGAGACTATTGACGTTAGAGGACCTTCAGGGAGATTGCAGTATGCTGGAAAAGGTCTCTTCCTCATCAAAAAGATGAGAAAAGACCCTCCAGTGAATGTCCTGGTTAAAAAACTCAACATGATTGCTGGTAATTTTCCTACTCACAATATTACTTGTATCGTGAAACTAAGGGTCGTATTCTAGAACTCTACTCAATGCTCAAGTCAGGATTGCAATTGAAACACAAGCACTGGAAATACGACCCTAATGGCAGGGACTTGAGTACGATTTTGAGTGCTTTAAACCATACTCAAATCCTGACTTGAGCATTGAGTAGAGTTCTAGAATACGACCCTAACTGTCGTTTCGGTATGCTTTATATATTAACATTTAAAAAGCAGAAATTACTGAATGTCATTTCCTGGTGTACCTACTTTTCGCTTCATTAATTTGTATGAAACTGACATAAAATATTTGTTGTTAGTATATAGATTTCGAAACCCGTGGTGAACCAAACTATTAACACTAGTTAGGTACAGGTTTCTATTAAAAGTAGTGAATAAGAAGTTATATTTCATGATAAGAAACCCCATAGTTAGCAATAATTGATCAGTATGGTCAAATCAATTTTAAACGGTCAATCATCTGAAACGATTCCTATCAGTTGCCTCGATATGATTCCGATAAAAAGTACAAAACGATACTCGTGTAGTATTTACGCAAACATCGAGATGGATTTGAATCAGGGAAGATAACTCTGCTGTGTTCATTGATTTGTCAGCAGCCTACGCCACAGAACCTTAGACGGCTGTTATGGAAGGTGGAAACCATGACCGGTAATCATAAATGTATCGTCATACTCCATGAACTCCTCCATATTACTCAACTATCGTTTTCGGGTTCATCTCTTCCAGGACAAATGTCGTTAAAGATCGCAAGAAAATGTTCGCCCCCAGGGTAGCATTCTGGCTCCGTTGCTGTAACTTCTCAAGCGAAAAATTTCGTGGAAGTTGTGAATAAACTCAGCACTGATCTTAATAACATAAGCCATTACTACATAGAAAAGTCGCTTAGGCCTAACCCATCTAAAACTAAGTCGTGCGCTTTCTTGGCCTTGTACGCCATGCGACGTATTATCTTTTGCCATGATTTGCACAACATCCTCTTTATAAGTACATAATATACCGTCCACAGTGTAATGTCAGTATTTATCTAAAAAATTACTTACCAAAAATTGGTATTTTCTCCATACATATTTACGTACACAATTTTCAATACAAAAACCACTATTGATAGCTTGATAACTTTTGCAGTATATGTATACCTATTACGAAATTAGTTTTACGTAAATGTAAAGGAGATTATTTACGAGGTATTTATCAAAAATATTGCATTGTAAAAATGCATATTTTATTTTTATTATTATTAACATATGAGTATACAAAAGAATTGATTCTGTGGATTGTAGATATTAGTCATTGTAATCCTTTATGTACTTAATAGTTACCTGATAGAATGTGTAATAGATGAAACATTTACGTCACAAAAATGAACACATTATGTACTGGTAATCAGTGAATAAGTCTTTGATATGTGTAACGTTCTAAAGCTTTGACTAATCCACTATAATTAGAACAAACGATAATGTAATATAATCCCTTGTACTGAGGCATGGTTTTATTCCCCAGGTGGAACTGGCATCACTCCAATGCTTCAACTGATTAGGCACATCTGTCAAGATGTCAATGATCATACGGAGATGAGATTGCTATATGCAAATCAGACCGAAGATGACATTCTGCTCAGAGAAGAATTAGAGAGATACCAGAAGGATCATCCTTCACAGATGAAGTTGTGGTATACTGTTGATAGACCTACTGACGGTAAGGGCCGTTTAAGTACAGTAAGTACATAAGTGCTCTCGCGGGCACTATAATTAGGCAGTTAAGATTGTAGGGTATATTGCAAATAATAAATAAATAACGCACACACTCAACATAGCTCCGCACTTGGGAAACCCTGTGTCGCGGTGTCGTGGACACACACATAGACAACCACAAATTACACCCAAACTCACGAGAGAACTAAATGTAGACCATACAAATATTTCTCCCGGCCCGGGAATCGAACCTGGGACTTCTGCCACGGAGGCAGTAAACATTTGGAAGTAACTTGAGTAACAATGGAACTCTGATGCTTTATTGAAAAATTTTTGGTAAAATCGAAATATAGTTAGGAAATGAAACTATTTTTCTTATCTATATCGAGTAAATTTATTTTTTCAAACAAAACCAACGTATCGAGCGCTTTACAGGTGCCATTTGGTCCCATGGTCACGGCTGACTGTAAAGAGCCCGAAACGTTGGTTTGTTTATAAAAACAAATATATGCGATAAAAATAAAATAAAAATAGTTTCATTGCCTGTGTATAACATCAGGGAAACCTAGGAATTCGTTATCTAAATATAGTTGAAAAACCATGATTTGAACAATTTTTGGCTCCCCGATTTGTCCTTGAGCATGGTATGTGCCATATTGTTTAATAGATTTATTTCAACTGCCTTCTTGATGAGCAAAAAATAAATCTAGAATTGAAATTCATGACGGTTTTAAAAATATTTTGCAGGACATAAAGATTTTTTCTATTAATGTAAAAATGATCTTTTTTCTACTCCTGTACTAATGTACTTTAATCTGTCAATTATAATTTCATGAACCATGTCATAAAGGCGCTCTTTTTAGTTCTGAATCAAAACTGTATTGTCGATGATACTCGCCACTGAGCTGAAAAATGTCATTAAAGTTCTGTATACACTACTATAATGAGCATCATAGTACTGTACACAGAACTGTAATGAGTTTCAAAAAAATAACGTTTTTCAATTTACGCTACTCAGTGCTATACTGCCTCCTGATGTAACCATACATTGGCCTAAAAGTCTTGCAACTGGGCCATTAACCTTTATTAAATTTCGTAAGAAGCACTATCGAAGACATGGGTTAAAACTTATTTTAAAAAATTGCGTTCGTTGGCATGGATTGATAACAAAATGTACATTAATATTGGTTCTGTTAAATTATTTTATTTACTCGTAAAAAAAGTATTGTATGCTATAATTGCATAATTAGGTCTTAAAATCTCGTACTCGTATTACTTATGCCACTCGGCAAAGCCTCGTAGCCTAAACAGGGTGCTCGACTACGTGTGGCGCACTATAAGTTTCCGGAATGAATGAGAAACAAATACTATAAATGGTCAGAAATGAATTTATTGTTTCTCAAAATATTCTCCGTTAGCGTTAATGCACTTTTTCATACGAGTGAACCAATTTTGAAAACATTTATGCCACTCCTCCGTGACAATCTCTGAAACATATTTTTCAAACTCTTAGACAGCCTCTTCAGGTGATGAAAATCGTTGACCGCGTAACTGATTCTTAATAATAGGGGTTAAAGTATGAAATTGCCGATTTGTACTGAAA